GAGAGAATGAATAGAAATAAAGAATCTTATTATTAGAAGTTTGCTAATGAAATTGTGGTGGCCCAGGACAGTGGATGATTTAATTCCAGTCAGAGCTGAGGGCCTGAGAACCAGAAGAGCTAATGGTAGAGTTTGTGTCCAAAGACCAGCAGGCTCCAGACTCAGGAAGAGCCAGTATTTCAGAGTGAGTGCAAAGGCAAGAAGAAGAAACCAGTGTTCCAGTTCAAGAGCAACTAGGTAGGAAAGGGTTGCCCCTCATGTAGGGAAAGAAGCTTTTGCTCTGGTTAGACTTTAGTCTCTCATCACCAAGGAGGGCAATGCCCTTCCCCAGTCTGCTGATGTAAATGTCAGTCTCATCCAGAAACACCCCAACATGAACACCAGGAATAATGTCTCACCAAACATTTGAGTACCTTGCAATTCAGGCAGTTCACACAAAATTCACCACAGTAGGGCCTCATTGCTTGGGGATGGTGTATAATTTACACAGTAATAAGAAGAGCCTTTTCTGAGTCCGAGCTTGATTGCACTGACTCTCGGACTGTATCCAGAGAACTTAGGTTCTTGAGGATGTTGCAGAGGCACACTGGTGGGAAGTGTAGATTTGACAGTGTTATATCTGTTGTTTAAGGATTACATTCCACTATCCTGGAAAAACAGATAACAGTGGCTTCAGCATCCTATAGTGTGGGTTCCAAATGGTACCTCAAGGTTACTGGGGTACCACAGTGAACTTAAAGAGTCCTAAGACACTTAAAAACTTGAAGGAATCAGAGAGATACCCAGCATTCTTTGCTCATCAGGTAAACTTCTTGCTAGTGGAGATGGACACTTTCCACAGTAAATTTCATTACATTCCTTTTGGTGATGTTTGTGAAGCTACAGTCTCAGGGAAAGCAAGCACTTTTTATTGCTGTTCCTGAAAGGATTACTCACCATAGCCAGAAGGTAGATGCACAAGTGTCCATCACGAGATGAGCGTGTAGACATAATATGATGATACATGTATACTCAACTTGAAAAGGAAGGAAATTCTGGCACATCCTATAACAGATAAACCTTGAGTAAACTGTGCTGAATCCAATATATCAGCTTCAAAAACATGCATTTTATGAGTCCTCTTGTATAAGGACTTGGAATAGTGAAGTTTATAGAGACAGTGGTGGTTGCTAAGAGCTTGGGCAACAGGAAGGAGAAGCTAGTACTCAGTCGGTACAGAGATCTGGTTTGAGGTAAGAAAGTTTTGGAGTTTGGTGGGTAGCTTGTTTTTTAATTTTTAAGGTAATTTAATAATTTAACATTTGGGGTTTTCTTTGAGAGAGTCTCAAAGACTGAACCTGCACTCACTTTGTAGCCTAGGCTGGCCTTGACATGTGAGGCAATTACCCATCTCTGCCTTCTGAGTAGCTATTTTACTACAATTTTAGGTGACATGTAAATGTGAACAGGCCATGAGCATGGTGGGATCTGCCTTTTTTTTAAGGTTTGGGAAGTGGTAGGGTATACCACGGGAGCATATATCCCTCCTGAAACGGTGCCTGTTGAATCAAACAGATAGGCTGTTTTTCCTTTAATTTATGAATATTACTTTTTAAAGCAGCTAATAAGTTGCTAGTACACACACGCTGTTAAGTGTTGACACTCGATTCCTTAATAAATGTGGCTGTTAGGTGTTTCTTGGGCCTGAGGGCACGATAAAAACACAGAGACACTTGGCCGGCCTCTTGGAGTGTCCAGGGCTTGTCATGAGGCCATTTTTCTTAGGGGTCAGTGTTGGCTACTCAGGTCTGCTCTCTGAGGTCCGGGACCATACAGTGTTCCTCTTGGCTGCACTGTGGCCGCCTCAGTCCAGCTCTGA